GGCTATTGCTTGGAGGGAGAGTCCCCCTCCCTATGACCACGTGTCAGGGGCAGAAAATGGCTGCAGACCACGTGTCAGGGGTGGAAAAATGGCCATGGACCACGTGTCAGGGGCAGAAAAATGGCTGCGGACCACGTGTCAGGGGTGGAAAATGGCCGCAGACCATGTGTCAGGGGCGGAAAAATGGCTACGGACGTGTCGGGCGGAAAAATGGCTGCGGACCACGTGTCGGGCAGAAAATGGCCGCGGACCACGTGTCAGGGGCGGAAAAATGGCCGTGGACCGGGGCCCGGGAGGGAAAATGGCCGCGTATCCTGTTCGTACTCCGAGGCGGAGTTCGCAAGCCAAAGCAAAATTTTGCGGCCGGAGCTGGTCGTAACCCGAAAAGTTTGTTAACAGAAGCGTTCGTAACCCAAGGTTCCACTGTATATGTTTATTTCTCAGTGCTCAATCATATGCCTTCAAGACTACAAGTAGAACATGAAGCAATATTCTCTTATTGTCACATCCCAGCAACTTGTACAACAGCTATTGCAAGAAACAGTCACATATGTATGGATTACATATTTAATTTCATTTTAAAAAATACCTACGTTACAGTAGCAACTATTGTTATATTATGAACCATTTCGAATGACATGGCAAGGTAAAATTCACTAACATTCTGGACAAACTCTGAACTACTCCAGTTGTACTTGCTGATTCCTCTTGCAAGTGGACACAACTTAGAAAACCATGGGATGCCTCCATGCAGGATTTATTGTCATCTTATCCAAACTAAAGATGGTAGCTTGTTCTGTAATCTGAAAACATCCAATATGTTGCCCAATTTATTACATAAACTATGTGCTTCTTCAAAAAATATTTTTATCTAGAAATGAAGTAACCCCTTTCTGAAACGTGTACTGTAGATCAAAGATAAAAAATAGTACTCACTGTCCTGCTGCCTGTCATTTGATGAAGAATATCCTGAAACTGACTTCCATTTTCATATCTATCAAGTTCTATGGCTTTATAATTCACATTCATTTCTTGAAATAGTTTCTTTGCCATTTTGCAGTAGGAACATGTGCTTTTTGAGAAGATCACAACACAATTATCTGATATAGCATCCTATGGATTTAAATAAAAGTTTATATGAGATGTATGCATAAAGGAAACTGAAAGAATTTATGGCTAGGTTCACACAGAATTCAAAGCCCAAACTAAGTTTACAGCTTAGGGTTTAATGTGAATCCAGACAATTAATAGCTTATTCAACAATGATTAAACCAAGCTTGGCAGGCCAGTGTTAACCCAGCCTGCATGTTTGGCACTAAGTCTAAATTTAATGTTTGTAAAATTGGTGATTTTTAGATGTAATCCTCTTCCCATCTTAGTGTAAATTTCATTTACGTATAACCATTTTTTAATTTACTTTTAATAGTACAATTGTATCCAACTCAGAAATAAGCCTTGCAGAGTTCATTATGCTTATTACCAGGAAGTGTAGGTAAGATAGACTGGAAGGGAGAAAAGGCAACTTATTCCTCAAGGAAACATATTCTACATACTTGGATGTTTTTTTTTTAAATACATAACTATAATCTTCAATATTATGGCAAAAAACCAATAATCAAAATGTTCCAGTCGAGCCTATACTGATAAATGAGTTAGCTAGCATGCTTTGATTTAACATGACTTTTCACTTTTCATTCAAACTTCCTTTATTTTGAATGGGACTGCTAACCCTCTCAGCTAAAATAATTAGAATCTACTATATTTTTGCTATTCCCCAAAAGTTTGAAGTTAAGGGCTTCTTGATACAGATTGGAACAAACTTTTTATATGGACTGAGCTATTTTACTAGGACACACTTCCAGTACTGTTTAAAGATATTAGTGCAGAATGGGCAGCTCTCTGTTTTAGGACCGTAAGTGGCTCTCAAATCCTCTTTGCAGCCCTTGGCATGCCTTTGATTACAACTGCAAAAAAACTGACAGCACAATTTCCTGCCATTCTGAAACAGGTATTTAGGAAAACTCTTGTGTAAGCCATACAAGATAGTGTAAAAGGAAAACCCTTGCCAATTCCTTACCATAAATCTTCCCTGATGATCTCTATGATGTATGGCCCTGAGATACTCCAAAAATGTTAACTGTGGTCCATGACCAGCAAAAAAGGCTGCTTATCACTGCCTTACTGTTAAAAAATTATACCCAGGTTAAAATTATATTCCTAAACATACCTGGTCAGAAGCCATGACAAGAGTTGTAAACTTAAAAATCAACAACTTCAACAATATTGTAGGACTTCTTAGCTATAACAATACGCATTACACTCCCAGAATCTTTATCTTTTGTTAAAAAAGACTCAGTTTTGTCAACATGCTTCTCAATTCAAACAACAGGAACATGACTCAAAATTACATTTTATATTTTAGAAAAAATAAAATCCTTGTCCCATAAAAAGCAACATTTAGACTAATCATATTTACTCACTTTTATCTGGTTAGCTGTAGCAGTATTAGATATTGCTGTAGCTGCAGATGAATTGTTCCCCATTCTAAAAGAAAGCCATTGCAATGAATATTACGGCCTATTTATAATACAATCCTGTACTTAAAGATCAGCGTTACAACCAATCACACTGTGAATTTCAGCAAAAGATACATAAGTAACCAACTAAGTGGCACAATCCTTTTGGACACATAGACCTAAGGCTAATTTTGATTAAAGTCTTAGATAACAGTACTCATTCCAAATTAAGAATTACTACATTGTAGCCTTTTAAAAATATGTATTTGCACTGAACGTTTTAAAGAAAAAAAAATAAGTAAACAAAAAAAAGGGATAAAAAGTGGGAGTATGAGGTACATAGATAGGAAATTTACAAGTATTACAGAAAAAGTTTTTCATTTCATTACTGTAATTACAATAGTTATAAATGGCTGATTATATAATTTTAAAAAAACTACATATCACCATAAAGCTTTATGAAGACCATAAATACCAGGAATAGTAGTTAGCACAGTATATATCATAAATTACAATACATTATATCCATACAACTAAAAGTCTATTCTGATTTAAAAGATCCTATAAAGCTGAAATAATATGTTATGTAAAAAGAAACCCAAATTTTGGATGTCATACAAATTCACATAAAAATTGTAATGTAGAAATTGTTTCCCAGTTGAATTAAACTCTGTATCACATTTACTTTTAAGATATGAACTTATTTTGGACTTGAAACCATACAACTTAATCATTCTTCCACAAAGGTGATCAAATGTTCTGTCTAGTAAGAAACAGAGTATCTTCGCAGCACTCAGCGTGTACAGATCAAATTCAGAATACTTCATGGGAAGTTATGGTTTAGTAAAATTCAGTAAGAAGTTTGCAGATATAAATTTTTAAAATTTGTTTTAGTCTGATGTAAACCATTTTCCAAAATTGTTGAGCTTCACAACATTGCCACCAAATATGAAAAAGTTATCCAATCTGGACATTACATTTTCAGCTCTTTTTAGAGTATATGTATATGTCCACGTATATGACGTTGACAATCAAAGCTCTGTTTTCCACCTCTACGAAAGTTAAAACAGAACTTAACTAGTAAACTAAAGGAAAAAGTAAGCTTCCTATACTACTGCTTATAAAATTGTCATCACCATTCTTCATACTGTGTTTAAAAACTAAGCATTCTACAGAAGGAGAGAAATATCAATTAAATTAGAATACAGCAAAGTACAGAGTAGACATACCTAGGTAGCTCTAACTCTGAGATAAAAGTGGAATATCAAACAGATAACCACTTTATGATAAAGAAGAACAAACTAGACTCTATAAAACCTACTAACAATGGATAACTCATGAAATCAAGTAAAACTAAGCACTATACAACATAAAAGCCAGAGAGACCTATCACCAAAGCCAATCTGGAAGCCACACTTCCAGAGCAGCAGCCCTCTCCTCAGACTCAAACATAAAAGTATGAAGGCCAGGAAACTAAGCATATGATTGCGTTATACATTTCCAGAGTCAGGATATTCTTTAACAACATTTTTATTATTTATTTATTTATTTATTTATTATTAAATGTATACGCCGCACATATTAGTTTTTCCCATCAAAATCATCTTTGGGATTTCAATATACGATCATCCCGAAAATCTTCATTGTTAACCTGTTCTTGGGAGAGAGGCTGCCTGGCCAAAGCATCTGCCTGTCAGCACCTGAGCAACTTCACTGCATGCCTAAGGCCTTTCCATTTTCTGTGCAGGACAGGAAGTACCCTAGAGATTCAAAGCTAAATCCTGGCCAAATACATTCCCTTACATTACAACAGTGGTTCCCAACCTTTTCTATGCCCCACACCCCTAGGAAAAGTATGATTAATGTTCGCACCCCCTATAAAAGTAGTATCACATTTGAAAATGAAGCAGTCTAATTTCTAATTGCGGGTGAACTAATTGAATTTAAACAAGCAAGCTTTTAACTCAGCGCATAAAATTGTCGCACCCCTTGAAATTCCGTCTCGCACCCCAGGTTGGGAACCCCTGCATTAGAGGTTTTATTTATTCACGAATAAACACCCATGAATTGACAGTGTAAGGTGACTCGCGTAAAGAACCAACCTTACAGGGTACCCCAGCTGAATGTTACAATAATTGATACAGTTAAGACTGTTCAATTCCCTTACGTACCGCCTTAACTCACAAAACAGAACAAGGTATACTGTATTATAGCATCACTACAAACCAAACCATCCGGATCAGGCCAAGTTGCCTTCGTTTACACGCACATCCTTTCTGAGCTTACCAACCTGAGCACCAAAAGCCCCCGCAGCGCCCTCAAAGCCATCAGCCGAATGAGAACAGCAGCACCGACTCCGCCCCCGGAAGACAGGTCTGCTTCTCTTCCAGGGCCCTCAACAACAGGGGCTAACTACTCCATTGCCTGTTTGTTTTCATTCCTTTGAAACTCGACTTCCCTTCGCGCGTTTTGAGAGGCTCTTCCTCCTGTCAATCACGCTCTGCCTCACGGCGAGCGGTGGAGATGCAGAAAAGAGGTGGGTCGCAGTGCCGAAAAAGACGGATCTTCTATTTCTCGGCGTTCCCTTCAAGGAGGAGAAGAGTCATGGGCGGGGTCAAGGAGTGTTTTTTTTTCTTCTGAGCGCAGGCGCAGACGTAGGCGGACTGGTAGGGTCCTTCTTTCTCTTTTCCCTTCTGCGCGTGCGGAGTCGGTGGTGTTGGCGGCGGCGGCGGCGGCGGCGGCTGGGGTTGTTGGTTCGTCGGTCGGTCGGTTGGTTAGTCAGGCGGTCGGTTTGTGTGCCTGACAGTCAGGCGGCGAGGCGGCTGTCGAGGCGAGAGAGCGTAGGGAGGAAGGCGCACTAGAAGGCGGCGCGAGGGAAGTCACTGGAGCGGGCGCTCTCCGGGGTCTCGAGGCCAGCGAGCGAGGCAGGCTGAGGCGATGGCGGACGTCCTGAGCGTGCTGCGCCAGTACAACACGCAGAAGAAGGAGATTGTGGTGAAAGGAGACGAAGTGATCTTCGGCGAGTTCTCCTGGCCCAAGAACGTCAAGACGAACTATGTCATCTGGGGGTGAGTCTGCGAAAGCTTCTCCCGCGGGCTCTGAATGCAAGGCGGGGAAGGGGGCAAAGGAGGGCGCACGCGTTGCACCCGAATGGGGAGGGACCGAAAAAAACGGCGTCCTGCAGGATCAGACCAAGAAACTGTTCCTGCTCGGCCGATGGTTCTCCCTGAGGGACAGCGAGCTGCTCCCGAGCAGTCCGGGAATGCCAGGCGGGTTAGCTTGCCCGGCCGTGATTAACGCTGTGCTGACTCGGGACGTCGGAAGTGGTGCTTGGGGCCAATAGCCAGTATTGCCTCTGCTTTCCGGTGTGTCTTTAATTCCCTTTCTCAAAAAGCCGATCGGGGCCGCACCTGCTGCTGCTGCCGCCAGGTTAACTAGGAAGGACTCCCCGAACCAGGATGTGGAGTTTGCGGAGCCTTAATGCATAGTCGCTTGGAAGCACGTGTGGTGGGACTCCATGGAGCATGGCCAAAAGATAATTTATTTACTTGGAGTTGTTAAGGTGTGAGAGAGCTAGGATGAAGGTGGTCTCTTGGGTAGGGTCCTTAGGAAGGAAGGGGTGAGCAGGTAAGGTTGCCATCCTGTTTTGTGTGTTCACCTGGAAGTAAATCTGTTCAACCTAGGGAGTTGTATTCTTGATTATCTAGGAGTTTTATGTCTGTAGCAAAATGCAGATGCAGAAGAGTTCAAATTAACGAGGGTCTTTCTGTCGTTTTAATCTCCATATCAGGAGAAGATTTTCCTTCTTTGTTCATGGAGGCTGCTATAAAAAGAGGTGGAGGTGGGTCAGTTTATACAACAAAATTTGACAGGGAGACGAAAAAGTGCACATTTGGGACTACAGTAAGTGGTCTTCAGCCTTAGAAGCTCCTGTTATCTGTCACTGAAAATGTTTGTTGTTGGGGCTGTAAAAAAACAACTACTACAGTCTTAATATGTGTAATGAAGGTAAATGCAAACGAATAGCCAACAGTGCCTGATTCATGTATTCTTTCATTCTGTAGAGTACAAAATTTGCACTTTCTAGGATAAACTGAAGAAAAGAAATAAATAGATCATACTAAACCTGGATTTGGTAAATCATGCTACTGAATAAAGTATAGTTGACTGGGTTTTTATAATACATGATGTTATGCCATGGGTTACAAAGCATAGTAGCTGAGTTCATACAACATATAAAGCGCAAAACAAACAACACATTTCTTACCACAGTGAGTGAACTGTGTTTTTGTATGCTTCTTTCTGCATATGTGTATTGTGGTAGTATTATATCTGTCCCTCTCCCCCCCCCCCAAAAAAATGATAGGATGAGGACTCAGGAAAAGTCTGTGTTCCCCTTTAAGCCCCCACTACTTTTATGGAACCTTTGAAAGGACAGATTATAGAGTGGCATAGAAACAGCCAGTTTTTTGTTGATACGACTTTTCAGATGTGATTTGGATAAGAAAAAATTGGGGTGAACTGAAGTGTTATTCATCTTACAAGGACTGTGCCATCTGGCTATTAAGAACTTCATGTCGTACTGTTTGTAGAAGGAAGCATCACTTTGTTCTAATACAACTTTTCTGCTGGCTACTATAAAAAGGTAATTTACCAGTAAACCTGACATTACTCTTTGTTTTCATAATTTGAACATTAAAAACAATTTGAAAAGTTTTGTTAGATTCAACTAAAGCTTATCTGTTTTGCTGATAGTCAACCAGGTCTCTCTGAGAGCCTACAACAGAATATGAGAGCAAGATATTTCTTTCTTCTGTAAGACTTATTTCTCTTTTGTTCTTTTTTAGTACAGTTAATAACATTTTTCATTGATTTATCTAAGCAGCATTGTAATTTCTGGAAATTGCCTCCCTTTTTAAAAACCTAGTAGTTCTTCTAAAATAGGTGGTTTTTAGGACATGTTAAGATTTTTGTTGCAAGAATAACAGTTGTATATTTGAGTGCTTTATGAACTTTCAGATGGGTCTAACTGTATTTCCTGATATGTTTGCTTTCAGTAAGCTCTGGGAATGTAATGTCTTGTCTCCACTATAGCTTCAATTTCCTCTTTTATGACTTAATCTTGACAGCAGAACATTATAGGAAGCTAATTATGAAATTATGAATTCAAAAGTTGAAAAAGCCTAAAAAGCAAAACAGATCCACATCTTTAAATTCAAAGGAGTTACACAAAGGTATCCAGAAACAGTGTGAAGCCTCAAACCAGAAATGTTTCAAGAACTCATGGCAAAGCAAGGGACTGAACACCTTGAAAAGTTACAAGAATTCAGTTATATAGGCATCTCCATATTAGTATGCATGTTAGTGATTTACATGACTACAGGGAGTTCCTGGTCTAGCACGTCTATATCCCAAGCAGATATAAGCCTGTATTCTCAAATACCTTCTGTTCATGAGTTTATCTTTGTGAACTGTTGTATTTTTTCACAGCACTGCTTGGCTCAGATTCCTGGGCTTGATCCTACATTTCTTTTTCTTTGGATCAGGAATCCTGCCAACAAGCATGGTGTTCAGTTTCTCTGACATACAACTTATCCTGGGTTGGAAATAGTACTATAAAAAGCAATGGGTGAGGAAACAGGACAAAAGTTAAATTTGATTTTAGTCCTTGTACTTTAAATTTAACTAAAATAAGTAGAGTTAATATGTTTATATAAAGAATAATTTATCTATAGAAATATAGTCATATGGTGAATAATCCCCCCCCCCTTTTGCATGAAAAGGAGCTTTTTTTTTTTGCGGTCTTTATGACTTTATGTGGCTTGGATCTCAGGGTTCTACTTTATACATATAAATGAATAATTAAAGCAGTTTCCCTGTAATAGGTTTGTTCTCTTTAACTACCTTCACTTGACACTCACATTTTTTCTAGGTAGCTTTTATGTGTGCAGTTTTTTTTTTTTTGTTCAAGCTTGTGTTCTTTTTCACTGTCTATTTGTTCTAGATAGCTAGATATATTGTCCCATTATTATCCTCTCTGATATTTTTTTGCTATTATGGAGAAGATGTTGAGTTCAGGAGATTTACATTCATATCTTGACTTTGCTGTTAACTCACTGGGAAGTTCTGTTAACTCACAGTCCTCTTCATTCATAATATAGGCTTAATAATACTTGCCTATTTCCCAGGTCTCTTGTGACGTTAACCAAAATATGGCTGCTGTTCTTTATATAAATATGAAGTCTAATTATAGTTATTTGTTACTTGTAAATCTTTCCTTTAAGAAATGAAACTTTTTTTTTAAACCTTGCAGCAGTTAATCTGGTTAGGCTGAGATATGAAGTCTGGACTAAGGCAGCTTAATGCATTCGTGACTGAGCAAGCTTTTTGAATTAAAATCTCTTCTCACTCTGATCATTTTACAATTTGGTTGTTTGCTGTCTGCAGTATATTTCAGTGCATTTTAATTTCCCTTCTGTTCTTAGACAATGTAATGGGAGAGGTAGATACATTAATTGCAGAGCTTTCCTAATAAGTAATAGATTTATTATCATTGGATTTGTGTTCATATTATTTTTATTATAATCACTGATTGCATATCTCTGTCATATGTACTCCTTTCCCAGCTGATTGACTTACAGAATAACTTAGAGCTCACAGTGAAAGAAAGGAAAAGGATATTTGTTTTTACCTTCTTCTTCTTCTTCTTCTTCTTCTTCTTCTTCTTCTTCTTCTTCTTCTTCTTCTTCTTCTTCT